ATCTTCATTCGATTTCGTACTGTGTTTTCGAAGCACAATATGTGCATGCTTCGACAGATCGGAGTATGATGACAAGTAAAATCGATGAATCACAGTCACAGAACGGTGGCTTTCGGTAACGGAAGCTGAAAACTGAAGACGAAAGAATTGAAGTAGGGAACCACATGAAGCCCAAACTGGTTATGAAAGCAAATGAACCGCGTGACAAAGAAATAATCTTACGCGGAATTCAGCTGATAGTGCAGGCAGGGTTGAAATTCTAAAATAAATAGGACACCATGCGTTGCTCTCAGAGAATTGATGCGCTCGATCACTAACAGCAGTTGCAGCAACATACTGAACCTGACCGAACTGTCTTAGTCGTTATCGCTGGCGTTCTCTACCTTATATCCGAGATTGGAGCTGATCCATCTTTATTATATTATATTTCATACACGTCCGAACACAGGCCGTGTGCCAAACAAATCATGGTACGATAACCTTTATGAAGAAGAAAGATGTTTCATGGTTTGCATGTGGGCGGAATACTGCCAGGTTGCCCAGGTCACCTTTGGACAGATTTAGGGATTAACTTGTTAGCCGGTTCTGTCTATGGCCTCTGTTCTTCTGGTGCATTGTACGATTCGTCATTCCAAGTCTTCGGGATGGTGATACTGATTGTCATAATTGAACATGTGATTGTGGTTCAGTCTTACTGTCCATCTCATGGCGATGCATAATGAAAACAACCAGTGTGCTGAATTTCCTTTTCTAGTTATCTCTATTACAATGGGCACACTTTCGTGTCATGACATTTATTTGTAGTCAAAGCAGCAATTATTTCCCACTAACAAATTGTTTATGGAATCAATGACCCCGTGAGTACACGGTTGACCCTTATTTTCTTCGTACCTTCAATATGGTGACTGTTGTCATTTGAGAATTCTCATGATCGGTTCCATGCTTCACCGTTACCAAACAACTCCGTTTCTTGTGCAACATTCGCTTCCCTTTTTCAGACAAGAAAAGCACTTCGAATCGGGCGTCCTGGGAAAATCACAGTCGAAGATGTCACATATCTTGTGCGAGGTGATCCGAAAAAGTTTTCGCGAGTCAAAGAGTTGCTGTTGCTCAGCGAAGAACTGCGTCGAGCTCGCAAAGCGTTCGAGGAGGATGACTATGGTGTGCTCAAATAGGAATTTTCCTACAAATCCCACTCTTTGATTGTCATTATTGTTATTTTTATCTTTCTTTTTTGTATATTTATATTTTGTCGATTCCAGAATATACGATCTCATTCGGTTCTTCTACCTCAGACCAATCGCAAATGCATTTACTTGCATATCTCGGAAAAGCTCTTTCACCACATGGGCTTTTTACAAGCTCTTTTGCGTACGAAAATGTATATTCGTTTCGATATCATTTTGAATAATAATAAACCAAAAATGTGCATTTTAGGTAACAAATTTGATTGTGATTGTGAATCACCGGCCGCCGCAATATCCAAATAAATTGACCAAACGCTTCGTGCTGTATACTTTGGTTCCCTTAGGTGTTAGTTCTGGCATCAAATTAACGGTCACAGTTGATTGCTTGATTTTGGCTGATTCTACGAGATCATAAATTCCTCAATGGTGTTTCACCACTACGTTCGATGGCTGCCCGTTGGGTACAAATGGCACTATTCAGTCATAAGTTGGTAATTAACATGTTGCCTGGTTACACTAATATTTACCGCGGTATAAATGCCTCACAACAAAACGGGAATGAAAACAATTCACTTCCACGTGCGGTCTCATTCGGATTTGAATTTCGTCATTATTAGACTCATCTCTGCATCCCTCAGTCTGTTTAAAACTTCTGGTTGATTAAAGATCTACAGAGAACAAAAAATAGGTGTAAACCGGTTGGTGTTTAAAATTTAGCATTGTTTTAAATAGGGAATAGCGCTTCAAAAAGTCACTTCATCAGTTTGGCGGTATTTGCTGACCATTAGATATGCGCATTTCATACGCTTTCATGAAGTCACTGCCCTGCATGTTCCTCAAACATTTAGCCCGCCCTAATTATCGCTTCCTCACCCCCACGGATATGGTTTCGGACGAGCTCGCAGTGACGATTTAATATGACCAGTTCACCGCAGGTTTTCAGTTTGTATGCTTCCAACCTCCATGCGCTCGAACTTCGGTGGTTTCTCAATACGCATTTTCGGAGTAACACATCCCCGGAGTGATAATTTGGTGACGTGACCACCGGGCCACCACAGTTGACACAGTGTACAGGCTTATATTAGGCAGGTAGGGAACGGGTCTTTTTACAGGAGTTCAAAAAAAGTGAACCACTACGGTTAACTCAGATTGCTAGCCAATTGTGCAGTCAACCCTATTCAAATGTATTTTTTGCATAAGAAATAACAACATGAACACTGATGTTTGTTCGTGATCATTCCCTGCAATGTCTTCAATATTTCTGTTCGTTGAACCCCGACCTGGAAGGCGAGTGACATTGCCTATTTTATCATGACCCACCTGCACATTATCTGTCGACTTACACATGTTTTCCTCTACTTTGATGTGGCATCTGCTGACGGCGCTTTAGACGACTGTTAGACATACACCGCACATGTCCCAACAACCGAAACTAACTATCTCGGATCGTGACAACGAGTGTTCCTTGGAGACACTAAAATACACCACTGCTCGCCTCAGTGTTGTTAACTTGGTCGATCCATCCTATCCGCGCCAAACTTCTTGTGCATCGACTGTCCACGCTCTTAAAATCCGGCAGCTTTACAGCAGAGTTGAAATTGAGCTACAGCGTACGCCACCTTTCAATTTAGGAGGGAGCGTCACATTGGTTTCTTAGATATTGCATTACATTATTCTAACCTTGGATATGTGCGCAATCATCTCTGCCATGCTACCATCGTTTATGACGCAACTTCATAGAGGAGGGACTATCAAACCACAGCCTATTCCGACAACCTGGGCTTGCACCAAAACTGGGAGCTTAGAAAATGCAAAGCGTAAACCCATTAGAGATCACTAGTTCGCCAAGTTTTCTTTGCGCATCCTGCATACATTCAAACGGACCGGTGCTGTCGTTAGTGCGCTCTGGGTNTCTGGGTGACCCTTTTACTATGATGAAGTTTGCTAGCTGTCAGAATAGCACATTTTACGAGCACTGCTGCCTGTTTCGAATAAGTTGCGTGTTTTATCGTAGATCTAACCATGAATGGGAGTTTAGTGACCTAAGTGGATTAGCGATAAAGCAGCCGGGAAATTTACTATCCTCGAACAACATGTAAGGTCATGTTTGACCACCATTCATTAAGATACGGATGAAAGGTTTGATGTGTTCGGTTCAATTAAAAAACAATTATTTTAACCAAAACGAGTCACGAAAGTTATTTATGCAGATAAAGTTCGAAAACAGTCAACAATATTTTCAGTTTTGAAAGTTATTCTTTTTCTCAGCCTACTCTTTAATTCAAAAGTTTTGGTTGTTACTGTGCGCTGCAGAGTTTCGGGTGGTCAGAGGTGCGATCGAATTCATCGGTTGGATGCTGCTTTCTATGGTAAAATGGACAGTTTGCCTCTCTGATATCACAACCGACAGCCGCCGACCATTTGAATGTTGCATTTGATATTCAGATATGGCATGCATCTGTGTGCGTTGGGGTTGGTTCACAAAATCATAGCAACGAAGCATAATTAGATTCCCTAAGAAAGGTCTGTTCGAAAACTATTCCCACAGTTACAATTTATAAATTTGTGGAGACGGCCATCATTTAACAGAAGAATAAATTCAAATATTGCTGGCACAAATGTTGAGTCTATTCGGTCATCCCCAACAATAGTAGACAACATGCCTAGGTACCCGTAACACTGTTGGTGTAGCCGGGGATCCACTAGCGAAAGATTGTTTTTGCCTTCCAAAACTCCTGGATTCCATGGATGTTGATCGGGTGGTTCATCCATTTATTTTCGCTCTGCCATAAACAGTATAATGTACGTACTGTGGTTCGTCTTGACTGAGCTTAGGACACTTCTTGATGACAAACATGACGGCTTTATTATCGTTTACTTGGCTCACCTCAAGTATGTACTAAATATCTTACGGGGTTTTCATTTCTATTGACCACCTAAATGAGATGTCAATACCAGTACCTGATTGTGGCCTGACGATGCTGATGCCCCATTCACAGTGGGTTTAAACAAGGCATATTGATTAGATCTGGCAGGTGAACAATTACGGCGTTGAAGTCTGATGATTCTGCAATGGCGGTGGTTCCCAGCGAAGAAAACGTGATCTTTCCTCCGTGACTTTGCCCACGGTATTCCAATGACTAGTATTGACATTCCGTGTGTGTCATTCAGTCAGCTATTCGTTGAACATAGGCGCAATAGTTACTTCTAGTGTTCTTTCACATCTGTTCATTGTCAGATGTCTTTATCGGAGATTGATTCTTGTTTGCAAACGAAGTCTTTACTCATCGCCATTTCGACAGGTAGTTCTTCACCAGCAATACTTTGGTCATCCAAGATTGGATCGTACAAACCTCAAGTTCGTTTTGATGATCACCGATCAGGTTAATCAGGACACTCGATATGAGTGCTATCCAAGAATCCAGCGCACCAAAAAAATCACATAGATAAACCTGATCTCCTACCTTAAATTTAAATGCGATGAAAATGTTTATGACCACCAACAAAGAGCAATGGACAGCTGTTTCGTCTTGTTTGGGACTCACCAGTAGTACGTACTTTTTGTGTCCCTGTCAGGACTCGAACCGCGATTCTTCGGGCTGGGACTTCAAACCCTCACCCTTGAGCTACACGGTAGACGGTTATCTCTGTGCGAATGGCGAATGCTTGAATTAGCCCATTCGGTTTTTCACAGGCACCAGGCACTGTTGATGATGATGGTTTTGGGTTTCACTCCTTGAGAGATTGTTGATTCTCCACTGTTTCGTATGCATTCAAATGCGACGGAAATGTTTGTGACAACCAAAAAAGAGTTGTCCAGTGCTCTTGACTGTTCTCAGTATGACGTGAGTACTTGTATTCATGTGTCTGATGCGGAGATTTTTTGAGCTGTCGGAATCATGGTAACTAGGATAACGTCATTCTTGGACTTAAAAACAAATACACCAGAGACGTCCGAGGCACCAATTACCCATTATTGTTTAGCAAGTATATGGTAAAGATAGTCCAGCGGTCGAGGTCTGCTAGGGCAGGTTGAGGTTAGTGAACGGTAGATGAAATGAGACGAAAAATTACCAATGGATTTAAATCGGCTTGAGGTATTTCATGAAGTAAAACAAACCTCAAAGTTGGTGCAAATCATGGTGCCTGATAGACCGTATTGTAGATGCGAACGAAGAATGTAGTGGGCTAGTAGACAGCTGAATGAGTCTGAACTTTGAAAGCAAATGCATAATGTAATTCAATTTTGTTGCAGCATAAACTGTCTTTTCCAATCGTGTTCTTTTATGATTTCTGAACCATCAAACATTGTATTTCCGATTAATGTTTCATTCGAGTAACAACTTGAAGTTGTAATCTTTTGGGCAATGTTTATTTGTGTAATCATTGTTGAGCATGATTACAAATAATAACGAACTGAGGGTCGGTGTTGTCGATTCTCAATAAGAAAACTCAGATTGGATGTGATGATGAGTTTTGGAGCTTAAACTTATCTGACGAACGCATGGTTTGAATACCTTATCTTCCCACTGATTTTAGTCTACAATACATGTTATTTCGCCTATCTTTGAGTACTGTGTGAGAAATTCTCGTCACCAGAAAGCTAATAAACAGAATGGAGGGAATATAGTTCGTTGTTTCACAGTTTAGGTGTTATAAAAGATGCCTTGGTACATCGCGTACTCGGCGGCACATTTTAGAATTTAAATTTAATTAAACACATTATCATTTCAGTTTCAAGGTCATGTCATTTGTTCAGTTAACGATCCTCTGACTCAAAATTTGAGTGCTGAATAGTAATCATTTAGTGATTTTGTAGCCTGGAATTCTATCCGATCCCTACCACAGTACTGCAAATTGATTTGAACACTTTACTTAAGAAGATATTATGTTCTGCTTAAATCCTGTTTACTTAAAGGTGCAGTGTGTCCGTTATGAAAAGGTACACCAGCACAAAATGAGCGTGATGAGTGTGTCTATCTATTGGA